CAAGGTTAATATAAAAAAGTCAATTGCAATTGCATTCCTATATACCAGCAATGAACAGTTGGAATCTGAAATTAAAAAAGACAATACCATTTGTATTAGCATGCAAAAAATGAAATACTTAGGTATAAGTCTAATAAAATATGTACAAGATATATATGAGGAAAACTACAAAACTCTGATGAAAGAAATCAAAATACTAAATAAATGGAGAAAGTCCATGTTCATGGATAGAAAGACTCTGTACTGTCAAGATGTCAGTTCTTTACAACTTGATCTATAGATTCAATGCAATCCCATCAAAATCCCAGTAAGTTATTTCGTGGATATTGACAAATGGATTCTTAAGTTTAGATCTGGAATAGCCAACACGATAATGAAGAACAAAATTGAGGGACTGACTACGTCAAGACTTATTTATTATAAAGCTGTAGTTATTAAGACAGTGTGGTATTGGCAAAAGAATAGACAAACAGATCAATGAAACAGAATGAAGAGCCCAGAAACAGGCTGATATACATACAGTTAGCTAATCTTTGACAAAGGAGCAAAGACAAGACAATGGAGAAAAACAGTCTTCAACAAATGGTAGTGGAACACCTGGATATCCACATGCAAAAAAAGAAAAAAAAGGTCTAGACACAGACCTTATATCCTTCACAAAAATTAAGTCAAAATGGACACAGACTGAAACATAAAATGAAAAACCATACAACTCCTAGAAGATGACATAAGAGAAAATTTAGAAGACCTTGGGTTTAGCGGTTACTTTTTAGATACAAAACCAATGGCATGATCCATGAAAGAAAATTGATAAGGTAGACTTCATTAAAATTAAAAACTTCTGGCCTGTGAAAGACAATGTCAAGAGAATGAGAAGACAAGCCACAGACGGGGAGAAAATATTTGCAAAAGACATACTGATAAAGGACTGTTATCCAAAATATATAAAGAATTCTTAAAATTAAACAATAAGAAAATGAACAACCTGATTAAAAAATGGGCAAAAGATCTGAACAGTCACCATACCAAAGAAGATATACAGATGGAAAATAGGCATATGAAAATGTGCTCAACATCATGTGTCATTGGAGAACTGCAAATTAAGACAACAATGAAATACCACTACACACCTATTAGACAGGCCAAAATCCAGAACACTGACAACACCAAATGCTGGTGAGAATGTGGAGCAACAGGAACTCTGCTTTCTGCTCAATTTTGCTGTGAACCTAAAATTGCTTTAAAAAACAAAAGCTATTAAAATAAAGAAAAACCCTCAATGCACAGGGCTTAAACACAGATTAGATTGTGCTGAAGAAAGAATTGGTGGGTGGGGATTAAGTCTGATTAGTTTACCCAGAATAGATAAAGAAATGGAAAATATACAAAATTGAGAGGTATGAAGGATAGTTAGAAGGCTTGACATACAGTTAGAGCTCCAGAGATGAAAAAGGAGAGGCAATATTTGAAAACAAAATATATGAAAATTTTTCAGAATAGCAAAATTGCATATTTCTAGATTTAGGAGCCTCAATAAATTCTCCAGCATCTAAATAAAAAGAAACCCACAGTTAGACCCACCGTGTGAGAACATCCAAAACAAAGAAAGGTCTTAAAATCATCCAGCGGAGAAACAAAAGATGACCAAAATGAAATGATAATTTGACAGCCAACTTCTCAACAGCAACAGTGGAAGCTAGAAGACAGTGGGGCCAATCTTCTCCAAGAACTAGGAGTATTTACTGTCAACCCAGAATTTTGTATCTAGTGAAACCATTTTTCAAGAATGAGTGTGAAAGACATTCTAGGGGAAAAAAAACACTTGAGATATAACTCAAAGACTGGACAACAGTTAGTTGTGTGAGTGTGAATGTGTGTGTGTGTGACTGAAATTAAAGTATTCTAAAGTCCTTGTATTGTCCAGGTTAAAGCTGTTCATCTTTAGACTTTATTGAGTATGGATGTCTTCAGTTCTAGGTAGCTAGTAAAATAGAAACAGAGCGTATAACTTTCCAGTAAGAAGATTAAAAGATGGAGGAGAAAAATCCTTGATCACATGAAAAGAAGATCAGAAAGGAAGAAAAAACCAGAAAAATGCAGACGAATAGAAAGTACAAAATAAGATGTTAAAAACACCTACAAATATATAATCACAATAATAATAATAAAAAGGAATAAATTTGCCACTTGAAGGAGAGCAAGTGCTGGACTATAAACACACCAAAACCCACTGACGTGCCACCTACGAGTGGCAAACCTAGAATGCAATGACACAGAAAGTTTGAAAGTAAGTGAACAGAAAGATTTTTTAGGCAAATAACTGAAAAAAGATGGCGTATCTGTATGAATATAAACAAGCAAAAAGCATTACACAGGGATATATGGTTCAACTCACCAGGAAAATATATAAATAAATTTGTTCATGCTTAATAAAGTGACAATATGTAAAGCACAAGTTGCCAGAAAAAGTAAAAGATATTGACCGATCTCAAAGGAGATTTTTTTTCTTTTTCTTTTTCTTTTCTTTTTCTTTTGTTTTGCTGAAGAAGACTCTCCTTGAGCTAACATCTGTGCCAATCTTCCTCTATTTTATCTGTGGGACGCCGCCATGGCATGGCTGATGAGTGGCACAGGTGTGAGCCTGGGATCTGAACCCTCAAACCGGGGCTGCCAAAGTGGAACGGCCAAACTTAACCACCATGCCACTGGGCTGGCCCCTCGAAAGAGATTTTAACACATCCTTCTTAGTAACTGACGGCTCAAGCAGACTAGATATTAGATATTAGACTATGGAAGATTTGAGCAACGTGCTTAGCAAGCTTGTTCTAAACAAGTATAGTACATTGTACACAAGCATACATGGGTCGTTTATAAAAACCGACCATGAAACAAGCCATAAAAGAAGTCTCAACAAATGTTAAAGGCTCGATTATCATTGAATTTGATAATTTCAGTATCATAACAGCCATTGTTCCTATGATCAAATAAAATATGTAAAACACATAGTGGAAGCTTAAATGTTCATTTCCCCTTTTGAGATCTGCTGTAAAATCTTCTATCAGATTCCGTCACGTGGCAGGTTAAATGCTGTTTTCTGTAAACTTGATCAGAGCCTGTGGTTTTAATTGCAATTATTCTGTTACCTGGGTCTTTGCCCTGATTGCAACATTATGCAAGAAATTCTGTCGTCTTTATGAATTACAATATAGGATTACTATCTTAATCCCATACTCCTTCTCCCTGACTTCCCCCCGAGGGTCTGTACTTCCCCCACATCTGTATTTGTGACTAAACTTTTCATAAAAGGAGAACAAATTCTGGAGCCTTTTCAGGGCTGACCTAAGTAGTGTCGCTCAAGTATAGGCAGTGTGCGTGAAGACCTTTCTGCAAGACACAGAGATTCTGTGCCACTTGAGTGAAAATTGCACAGAGTTCCTGATCTGGTGCCTGGGCCTGTTGAAAGCAAACTCTCCCCCCAAGATTAGGCAAAAGCAGCCCAGATTTGTAAGATTCCTGACCAAAGAGGCCTTAATACTGGATTTCCTCTTGGATATTCATACAAGAGAGATCAAATTGGACCCATCACATAGGCAAACAAAGAATGGAAAGACAGTGCATTCAACCCTTTGGTCCACACTAAAATGGTATCAGTATTCTGACCACAAAATCAGTTAATTCTCTTGGGTAGCTTCCTTCTCTAGATAGGGCCAGGAAGTGCCATTAAGGTTTTATCCTCAGAAATAAACTCAGCCAAGGGTTGGCTATACCACTATTTGGATTATAGTGGTACTGGGTTCTAAATTATTCTTCTCAAGTACTTAATGCATTTCCTGATCTGCAAATCAAGTGGTAATTTTGATCAAGGTAAGTAAGATCCAGATAATCCTTGTGAGGGATCTTTTGTCCTGAACCCTATATGATTGGTTCACTACCAGAGGTCAGGTTAGAGCAACCTGGACAACCTCGTGTGGCCCCTTTGTTTTACCTCTCTTCCTCAGCCCTAAATGTCCAAATCAGTCTCTAACAAAATTATGCCATTAACACCTTTCCTGTGTTGTCCCAGAGGTCTGCATAACGACCAGGCTTCGGTCAGGTCTCAGAAAAGCTATGTTTTTACTGCATCCGACATCAAAGAACATCATAAAACACAAACAAATGGGAAAGAGTTCCTGTGCATGAGAGATTGAATATAAATCATTTACCTTCTATCCTATTTTAGGCACACGCTTAGGAAAAATTTAGAGCACCTTACCAGTTTTAGTTACTAAATATTTTGGTTTTAAAATCTGAATCGACTTTTTTGTTTTAAATGTCAATTTAGAGCTTACTTTTTTCCAAATATTAAAATATCAGATTAATCATCTTCTTTAAGCAGAAAATAATGCATTAGTTATTTATTTTCTACCCACTTTAAGAAGATTTTGAAGTGTTTTACAATTAAAAAGAAGAAAAAACTATGGAAATAAAACTAAGAAAATCTAAAAGGACTCTCAGAAGCCAACTAGAAAGAGAAGAGAGAAGGGTAACAGGAAATTAAGGTAAATTGATTATTAAAATTGAGCATTAAATTTATCTGAGGGAAAACATTGCAGCTTGAAGAATATGTACAATTGCCTTTTCCTGTCTCTGACTTTTTATTTATAGCATACTTAGAGCCGTATAATAGCAGAGAATCCAAAAACTATCTAAATAACTTCCCCCCCAATTACTATGTTATTCAACCTTTAGAAAAGCAAAAACAGAGCAGCGTTGTGTCCAGGACCTCAACCAATGGAGCGACCAGTTTCAAAAAAACTGAATTCCCTCTGCCTCTCCTGTGTTTTTCTTTTTCCTCTCTTGATTTTTCTGAAAATTCTGAAGGTCATGGAGGTGGAAATGGAAACTATGTCAAGATCAACAAGACTTTAGACGTCGTTGGATTTTGAAACCTATTTTTAAAACGTCAAGTATATTATGAAATAGTGTTGACATCACACTACATACACCGCTATTTCTAAAAATACCGTCTTCAGGAAATTTTTTTGACTTTTATTAATTTGATGCTTCTGAACATCATAAAATGAACATACATCATTTTAGTTAACTTGGGAGGAAAGATAAATTCCATTAAGAGGAAATACATAGGAAAGATATGTCCATTTAGGCAAATATTCTAAATTCGGTGCTAGGTTAATGGCTATGAATGTACTGCAGCAACAGTGAGCCGTTTTGCATCATTTCTAGTCTGAACACTTCAATATTTTACCGAGAATGAACAAGACGCCACGAAAACAGAGCCGCGGAGACGCACTTGAGGTTAGAGGGGCGCGCGCCCGTTCCCTAGGCCACGTTGCCCCTCTTTTTCTGCAGAGCTTTCATCAGATCCGACATGAAATCCTGCTCGCCGCCCCCTCCCCCGCTGGCCGGCGCTGGGTTCTCCTGCCTCTTTGGGGGAACCGGAGGCCTTTTGGCGACAACGGGGGACGGCTTCGTGGCTTCGGGGGCGAGGGCGGGCGGGGGCGGCGGCGGCGGCGGCAAGGAAGCCCCCGCATCCCACGGCGGCGGGGGAGGCACGAAGTCCGGGGGCGCTTCGTCAAAATCGGGGGGCGGCGGGGGGAGCTCGTCGTCCTCCAGGGGCGGCGGCGGCGGGGGCGGCGGCAGGGAGTCGTCGAGCAGGGGCGGGAGGCCGCCGGCCGCGCCCTTGGCGGGCATCACCGGGCTGCTGCCGGTGTCTGAGGACCGTCGCACCGGAGGCGGCGGGGGCAGGCTGGACTTCGGGAGGTGCTGGGCCCTGGGCGTTCCTGGGTCGTGGTTACTAAGGGCTGGCTTCTTGTCCTTCAAGAAAGCAACAACAGCATTATTCTTGACAACACAGCCACCTTGGGGGTTGACACTTCCACTGATGCATAAGATCTCACTGCTTTAGGCAGCGCCTGCCCCCTGGGGTGGGGGGAGCCCCAATCCCTCAGTCCCTGAGACTGCAGGTGTTCATGAGCTAGGTCATCTTCGCTCTGGGATAGAACGACTCCACGTGGCCTTTAACATTATTGCCAATAATGACATTATTATTTAACGGTATTACCTGGTGCTAATCTCCGACGTCTTCTGTACCTGGAAGACTTTGCCCTATTCAACGAGGTGTTTAGGATGTTTAGATTACACGTCTACCTCCTCGGAACCGCCTTACACAGGCGTTACTGCTGTCGTTAAAAGAGCTTTAGTGGTATAGAGCTTAGCTAGTTGTGGGCTTACCTCAGTCTTCACCTACCCTACAGTCAGCCTAAGGCAACTCAAAATGGAAGCAAAATGGCTCTCCTGGCGGTCCCACTCAGGCCTTGGTTCTCAGGACAAGCCACAGGGTCCAGGGCACATGCAGCCCTAACATTTTTCTTGGTCTGAGTTGAGCTGGTTGGGAAGCTCAGTTGTCAGGAGCAGGTGGCCAGTAAAATTGTTATGCTCCTGTACCATACTCTCAGTGGCACAGGGGTGGTCCCCAGACCTTCCCCAAATCTCCTGGCTGAAATGTCCTACTTTAACACAAAGAAGATGGAGAGGAAAAAGAAATTGGAAATGGTTTTCTCTAGGCTACAGCTAACCTTTGTGCAAACCTGAGGACAAAGGATCTCTCTCCTGGCAAAGAATCGTCTGCCTTCTCTGGTGTCAGTGCTTCCTTGCTTGCAGGCTGAGAACAAAGGTGCCTTTTCCCAAGACTGTGGGCTCCAGGAAGGCGTAATTATATGCTTCATTCCCTTTGGCTTCACGGGCTTTTAGGGAGGCAGGGGGTGGACCAGGAATCTGCACACCTGGTCTATAGCCTTAGATTTACCTTTGCTTAACTGTGTGAAAGTTGGCTGGCTAATCAGGTATTATACAGACATCATAAGCCCTATTATTATTTATGTCTCAAGGTTATGATGAGATCAAATGAGATAAATGTGTGAGTGGGTTCTGAGGAATGAAATCTGATGCCTGTGTTCTTGGTAGAAACCAGAACGCTAAACTTGGTCAAAGGTTGACAGAAGCACAGTTCTTCTGCCAACAGTGGAACAGATAATAATGAATTATATCTCTATAATGCAACTTCCCCAGGAGTTTCAGGCAGCTGAATTGAATCCCTCTGTTTTAGTGATAATTATCATTGCAATTTACATTTTATCAGGCTTTCATTTTCTTTCTTTCTTTGCTTAATAACCTCTCACCACTAAAGATTAAATTTAGAAGTTTTTTTTCCTAACAAGGTGCCTTATGATTGAGTTTCTATTCTATTTAGTTTATTTGCTTAGCATGATAAGCTAATTAACTGGTGATGTATTTTTTTTTTTTTTAATTTCTGAACAGGCAGTTTGGGAATTGGTGTTCACACACAGTTAAGTGATTTCTATTCTGGGATCCTTTTATTGCTTTTAGCATTTTAAAAGGTTTCTTTTCAGTTGGCATTATAGAAATCATGGAAATTATAATAGCTGAAAGTATACTGTGTGAGGAGATCATCAGACTCGAGAAGAAAACAAAAATGATAGAGAAAAAACTTTTAAAGGTCTGCAATGGTTGTCAAAGATTATAAGAAGTCCAATAAGTACAAGACTAAATTGTTTCCACCACTGGCTGATGGACAAAATGAAGGCATGAATGAAATAAAAAATTACTGAAGGTATAGTTATTTAAAGTTGCTTTGAATCACACATGGGAAATATTAAATGGAACTTGTATAGTCATTTAGATGTTACCTATTGGACCACCAACTAAATGATCCTTTTTAGCTGCAATATTTAGATATATTTAAATGACTCTTCATTAATCTCCTCTAGTGAGAAAAAAGTTATGAGGAATATTATACCAGTTTGATTTTTCTTTTCCTTGTTGAGGAAGACTGGCCCTGAGCTAACATCTGTTGCCAATCTTTCTCTTTTTGCTTGAGGAAGATTGTTGCTGAGCTAACATCTGTGCCAGTCTTCCTCTATTTTATATGTAGGATGCCTCCACAGCATGGCTTGATGAGTGGTATGTAGGTCCATGCCCGGGATCTGAACCTATGAACCCTGGGCAACTGAGGCAGAGCACGCAAACTTAACCACTACAGCACTGAGCCAGCCCCTTGGTTATTATTTTAAAAATGTGTTTTCCTTCCCCTTTCCCTGAGGATGTGTGTAGAACAATAACAGAATAATATAAGATGCACATGTTATAATGGAACCCTTTTAGTATCTTCCAATCTGGTTTGGGGCCCAGTTAGCATTTAACATAGGGCTTCCTACTAACTGATTGCTCTTGTTCAGAAAAAATAAGTAAAAATCCCAAGGGCTTAAAACTCAGGTGCCACTTTCAGAGAGTGCTGAAACCACTTGACTCAACCAAGAAAATCACTCCGTCGAAATAAATGTAGCTAGGTTAAAACTATTTACCAATCCACAGCATTAAAAAAAAATTCCTACATTTTCCTGAAGCAGTGTGATCATAGTTGATTCTAACTTTCCACTCTAGCCTATGTCACCTTAAGACAGAAAAAAAAAATAAAACAATTATCTAAATGAAATTACAGTGCCTTCTTAGTTGTTGGAACTGTATTTTCTTCTTTTAAAAGAGCAGTGATTAGCAGTGTTCCAATGGTTTAGAACGTGGGCTCACAGGTGACAGTCTGACAGAGCGGTGTCAGCTGCTCTCTGTTCTTACCTTAGGCGTGTCAACTTGTCTGTCTGCTTCGTTGAGAACAGTGCTCACAGAATGTGCAGCCTGGGGAATCTGACCATTGGCCTGGGCGGTGCCTGTTTTAAGTCCTGAGAGGGAGGAAGAGAGACAAGAAGAGTGGGCAAGGCATGTTTAACGTTCTTGAAAGTTAATCTGAAACTATAGAGCAGTTTATATCTTCAAAGCAAAAGAGGAGGATTCCCAGCTACACAGGGCTTACGGAAAATCTGGGCTTCTACGGCAAATACTTCATGAGATTCAGCAAAACCTTCTGGAAAGGGAATGCCTTATACAGGCTACAAAATCTGCTTTGGGGGGGGCCTAGCGAGGAGTATGTTCTGCTTTGAAAAACTTTTTGGTAATGGGTGACTACACCTTGAAAACCTCTTCCTAAAAAAAATTTCTCTTGTTGAAGATTTTTCTGAAATGTATGTATGGGGTTTCATACCATGCTGAGTACAGGAACGATTTTTGAACATTATCCTCCACAGGAAGTATTCCGGGCACAAAAATGGCAGAGGGCATTGAGCAAAATGTGCAGACCCCCGATATACCCTAGAATTAGATTTTTTCCCAGAGAGTCCTGATATGCACTTTTTTCTTTTTTTGCCCTTTCCAACAAAAGTATGACTAACTAAGGTTTCACAGTTTTAAGAGACTCAGATAGAAGAAGCTGTATATTATCTCTCTGGCTCCTCAGAGAACATTCTGGAGAGGATGGTCAGCTCCACATATGGACGCCATTTCTCCAGCAACTGAACTGTCACCCAGCCTATGACATGAGCTCTTCTCCTCCCCCAGTGGACTCCGAGATTGGTTTGGCTATGCTCAGTCCCAGCTAATATGTCAAATATTTATGAAATGACTGTTACTTGCTTCTTCAAATATTTTCCTAATATTTTGAGAACCCCATTAATCTACATAAAGCTCAAAGAAGGCCGTTAAGGACTTCAAGAGATTGGGAAGACGGTAAAGTTTGATGAGGAATAGAATATTTACAGAGTCTCAGAGTAGCTCTCTACAAATTATTAAGATCAAAAATCTGTACAGGAGACAAACTGGACAACACCTTAACCAAGTGGTCAAAATTAATGTTTCCATTGAGGGGGAAACGGACACTGAATGCCTCCGATGGTGACACCCTGAGGAGGACACAACAGCTCTCACGTAGTATTCCTGCCAAAATGCATAACCTGAAATGAATTATGAGGAAACATCAGATACATCCAAATTGAGGGACAGTCTATAAAATAAATGGCCCTTATTCTTAAAAACTGTTCATGTCTCGACAGACAAAGAAAGGCTGAGGACACGGTCCAGATGAAAGAGGACTAGAGGGCCACGGAGACTAAATGCAGTATGCATCCTGGATGGAACCCGCGCCAGGAAAAAACATCGCTAGAAAAGGCATTGCTGAGACAACTGGCAAAACTGGGATATAGACTGTGGTTTAGGTAACAATATTCTATTAATATTAAATATTAAATTTCCTGAATTTGATAACCGTGTTATGCTTAGTAAGAGAATAGCTTTGTTTTCAGGAAATACACACTGAAGATTTAAGGGGCACGATATAGTCAATCTACTCTCAAATGCTTCACAGAAAAATATACACAGGTAGAAGGGGGAGTAGGGAGAGAGAATGACAAGGCACATGTGACAGAGCCACTACTGATGACCTGCGTAAAGGGCACACGGGAGTTCTTTGTACTATTCTCGCAACTTTTCAGTAAGTTTGAAAATATTTCAGAATAAAAAAGATAATTCATGTCCATCTATACCGTTAAAAGATTGGAACAGGCTATACCAGCTGTCTCTATTGTCACATTTTTCACTATAAAATCTACGTTCCTCATCCAGCAAGGACAGCTGCCTCCTTCTTCAGAGGAGGGCCTCGCTTGACGTCCTCCACACGCCCCATCCGTGCTGTCAGAACGTACGTGATGTGCCACGTAAACACGAGATCACTCTGTGTCTAAGGCTTATTAAATGTCTCTCTGATTAGCCAAATCTTTGCTCTGGAGGTTGGGAGGTACCAGGTGTAAACATCTTAAGGCCTTAAGGCGTTTATATTTACGACTTTTCATAAGGCCTGGGCACCGTCCCATACTGTGCCCAGGAGATTTCAACATCTTAGATTGCAAAGTGCTCAATATTCTCATTTCCTTTGGTCTGTTCTTTTTCTCCTCCTCCCTCTAGTACGTATTCAGAATCCTTTCTTTATATATAATGTAATCACCTTTGTACAAGGTAGACAGAAACTGAAGCTGAATATTGAAAACTATTGGGGATATTTCTTTAAAGGGTACAAATGATATTTTCTTTTTGCTTCCTTTGCCCAAACACATACACAGGCTGATTTCTCAGGAACATAGTGTACATTTTATGTAACTGGGATGTCCTGGTGTTTACCAGTCTGTGAGAACACCTTTATAGTAATCTCCCAAATGCTCCCAGCTGCCATCCTCCCATTTACCAGGAGGTCCAATCTTTTCCATGGGTTCTCTGCCCCATCCTGAGATAACCCATGGGCACCCACAAAACCCATATATTGTGTAGGTGCCAATGATTAGGGATCTAGGTTGTCATAGGTTCTCTGTATTAGTAGTCCCAGCTGTCAAGCAGCAATACAGCCTCTCCCACAATGATGTCTCACTAGGAGTCCTCAAAGGAATCAGGAGTTGGAGGTTTATTAAACATATATGAGCCCCACATATTTTACAGGACTCAAGTGCATTCTAAGGGGGGACCAACTCCCCCCATTCTTAACCCACATGGTTTGCGAAGGGCCAATCCCACCACTCAACCTGGCAAATAAGAGGATGGCATCCTCTTGGGCACAGCAAGACGGTTTAGGAATGACCATGAAATGAAGCCCTCTGCTTTTTCAGAAATGGTGCATTCTCTTTATACTAAGATTTCTGACTGTGTGAAAAATGTAAGCCTAGAGAGTCGGTGGCAATCCTTGCCACCTCATGGGGACAGTGCCTAAGAAAGAAACAGTATCTTGAGAACATCACTTAACCCCTGGATCCTACTGTGCGTGAAAGCAGCCTACCCCTAGACTTCCTAGTTTTGTGAGTTAATAAATCTCTCCCGCTCACTTTTTGTTACTTAAACTAGATCGAGTTGGATTTCTATCAGTTGCCATGTAGGGAGTAGCCATTAGGTCAGAAGAATGGCCTGGGGCCCCTAAGTGTGGCTGGCGTCTGAAGAAAAGGCAGACTTGTTGGGGACTGTGCCGTAACCTGTGGGGTCTGAGCTAACCCTGGTGGTCAGCATCAGAGTTATACCTCAGTACCCCCATTGGTGTCAGAATAGGGGACCAGAGCATGCGTGGAAGAGTTGGCCCTTAATAGGCGGTAACATAATGGACACAGGCTAGGATGGGTGTAGATGCAGATAAGTTGTTGGGTTTGGTGGTGGGAAGCTAAAGGAGTTCCCCTTTGATTGGTCCATTTTCTCTGCTGAGAGTAAAGGGGTTAGGGGTTGAAAGTCTGAGGAGAGTGAAGAACATTGGAAACAATTAGAGAAACTAGGAGATTACGTTGACTGGAATAGGTTTTCTCAACATTATTGACATTTTGGAATGGAAAATTCTTTGTTGTACGGGGCTGCCCTGTGCACTGTAGGAGAGGCCACTTCCCTAGCCTCTACCCATTAGATGATGTGAGCACCTCCCAAGGTGTGACAACCAAAAACGTCTTCAGACATTGCCAAATCTTCCCTGGGGGTCAAAGTCACCCTTGGTTGAGAACCTCCGGTCTAGAGAAACATATTAAGATTGATAGGTAGTATTAGGGGCCCAGGTGTGGTTGGTGGCCACAGATCTGTGGTGGAATCAATGTGTCTATTGTGTGTAGAGCCCTCTGGGAGAAAAGGTTGTCTCAATCCCTTTCTTTACCACTCTCTCCTTTTCTCACTCTCTACATTTACTAGGTTAACAGTGGGCAGAGTCACTGTGGGTAAAGGGCAGGCTCAGTCCTTTTTTTCTCTTCGTTTCTTCCTTCTTTCCTCCCTCCTCTCTTGCTCCCTTTTTCTTCCTCCTTTTATTCAAATCACTGGTGTTACAATTGCATCTGGCTAGTGTTAAGTCTGAGACTTAGGCAAGAGAGAGGTTTATTTCAGGCTTCAAGTTTAAACCACATGCTCTAGCATGTTCTTCCAGAGAACCTTGAATTAGCAGTTATGGACACTAGCCCAGCTAATCAAAATGTAGAATTCTGTGTGCCATGGTTCCTTGCATATATATCTCTTTTTCTTGGGAACTTCACAGGAGGTATGCGTGTGGCTGGATATGGGATCTGTGGGTACCCGATCATAATAGCATCTCATAGCATCCCCAAATCCCCAATGACCTCTGACATATATACATAAATGGTAGAGCGAAGGGCCTGGAAGGAGGGTGCTCTGTTTCCACCCCAAGTGGGTGGACTGCAGTTCCGTTCTGATGCCGACCTGCCAGAGTTAGCATCAGACTCCACAGTTTTAAGGGCTCAACCTCCGCAAGACTGCCTCGACTTCAGGTGCCAGAACCCCGCCACTTCTCACCAGCCCTCTGCAAATTCAGGAGTTCCCATGCCCCAACTCAAGTTCAATAATTCTCCAGAACAACTCACAGAACTCAGGAAAGTGCTATACTTACGATTACAGTTTTATAATAAAGGATACATACAGGGCAAGTTCTGGGAGGGTCCTGAACCTGGAGCTTCCATGCCCTTTCCCTGTGGAGTCAGAGCACATCAGCCTCCTGGTACATTGATTTGTACACCAACCAGGAAGCTCCCCCAAGCCTCGGTGTCTATTTATTGGGGTTTCATTATGAGGCATGATTGAATAAACCCCTGGCCACGTGGCCAACCCCACTCTCCAGCCCCCCGGAGGTCAGGCAGTAGAAAGTTCCAACTCTCTAATTGCCGGCTTGGTCTTTTTGGTGACCAGTCCCCATCCTAAAGCTCTGCAGCAGCCCACCCTGAGCTACCTCATTAGCGTAACAAAGACATTCCTATCACTTAGGAAATTCCATGGGCTGTTGCAGCTGTGCCAGGAACTGAGGCTAAAGACCAGATATATTTTTTACTGAACCACAGAGGCGGTTTGTGATCTGAATGAATACAACTGAATGCCAAGGAGGAGTCCATTGAGAGCCTGATTGGATATGGCTCTTCCTGGTTGCTGACCGCAAGCCAAACACTTCCTGAGAGATCCTCAGTCAGGCAAGCCAGGCTATGAAACTTGTCTAGGTGAAGTATGATTGTCCGGGCAATACACCAATTGTGTAAGTCTGGGAAACGGCTGATATCCCAATCAAGGTATCCCAATTGTTCTAAAACAGTCCAGCTCATAATTAAATAGCTGATGTGTCAGCTTGATAAAAGGGAAGGTGATGCTAGTGAGAAATAACTAGAACAATTACAAGGCTTGGTGAGAAACAACTATTTGCTAAAGCAAGGGATCCCAATTTCAGAGAAAAATGCTCAGAAGAAAAAAATTCTTTGGAAAGGAAAGGGATCTTAGAGTTGCCCCCCAAAAAAGAACTTGGAGCCATATGGGCTCACTCTCATTGAGTGAGACTTGAGGCTACAGTATCTGCTCCAGAAAGAGTCCAGGAGTCTTTACTGGAAAGGAGGCCGATGCCCCTGGGAGAGATGCCCAAGGTGGTCTCAGGATGCCTTCCCCATCTTGGGAAGGCAAAACTTGATGGTCCAGGAGCTTCAAGTGGTGTTTCCCTCTCAAGCTGAAGACTGATAGAATTAGGATTCCTTCTACAGTCATTGAAACCCAACCTTCAATCAATTTCAGCAACCCTTTACTTATTAACTCAACAAATATTTATTATATAACAGGCTTGTAAATTCTGGGAATGCAATGTGGAACAAGCAGAAAGGACTTTGTCCTTTTGAGACTTAAGAGTGTAGTGGAGAAATAGGCAATAACCAAGTTAACAAATCCATAAAATAATTACAAATTGTGATAAGTGCTCTGCAGAAAACAACCTGGCATAAACACTTCAAGGAAACTCACCTTTCACAGAGCAGCCAGACCGGACACAGCTAAGGAAAATATTTTTAAATGCTGGGTCAAATCTACCTTACTGCAATTTCCACACTTTCAAGCTGGTTTTACACTTTAAAGTAGCAAAGAACACACATCCTGGTCTTTGATATGACCATCCTTTAACACTGGAAAACAATGACCAGGACTCTTCTGCTGTAAATGGTTCCAGGTGTTTCAACCATTATTTATCTTAAAGACAATGTGCTTGAATTACAGCTCAGCCACTGAGAAGATACTAGATACTAGCTTCTCCCAGCTTCAGTTTCCTCCATTGTGGAGTGGGAGTAATGATCTGTACTTTGCTGGGCTATTGTAAGAACCAGAAATAGCAGTATAGGTAAAGCTGTGCATAGTATCTACTCCATCCCTCAGTGTCCTGTCCTCTGTCTTAAAAATACAAACAAGTAGCTGTTACACTACCTGTAAAATGTGATGCTCAGGATTGGGTACAAGGCTCTAGCCATGATATTATGGAAGCAAAACACCAGAAAATGATCTCATCCTTGGGGTAGGCAGTCTGCTGGGTACCAGTGGAGTTTTGGACAAATACAACATTTGTACTGTGATGAGACACAGCTCCCTACTAGCTAAGCCTAAACTGGTGATCGCCATCATATCCACAAGCATATCATGAAAAAAGTGGTTAAAGCTTTGCTAAAAGTCACTAATAAGGAAATAGATACAGGTGTGTGGGGGGAGATGTTGAACCTGACCATCAGAAAAGAAATGTATTCTGTATACTGTCGACACAGTTCTGTTTCTATAAAATGTGTTGGATACGTCTGAACACAAGCTCTGAGCTTTGAATGGGGGTCAGAATATCTGCTCTGCACAGTACCTGTGGAAGGCGGGGCCGGTGTAGCTGCGTTGCCAGTGCCCACGTTTGTCCACCGGGAGGCGAGCCCAGCCCTTGCCATGGCCCGCTGATAGTTATCATAGAGGGTCTTTCCATACTAGGGAGGGAACACAAGAGAAGCAAGAAAGTAATGCATTTATGCCCAATTCTGCACTCAATTGCAATACAAGTATTGAGAAAAGAAAATACTTCATGACTACTCTTTTTACTATTTCCCCGATAATTGTTTTTAGTATTTCAATAAAAAATTCACAAAAGTTTTTGCATGTATTAAATAATTTTCCCGATTAGTCAGTTAATACTCTTACCTACCCATTAGAGGGGAGCTTTAGCAATGAAATTCTGATTACACTTCTTTATGAAATTCTACCACAGATTACATCTCATGTTTCTTAATTACACAATACACTTGCAAAGCTCTCTACAGATAAATCTCTGAAAAGTTTCATGTGAAAGTAAACTCTTGATTCTTAGGTCATTGAAGACGCCCATGTTTGTATCATACTCACCTATTTAAAAAACCCAGTGGGCAAATAAGCGAGATAATATTGGCGGCATTGACCCATTAATGGCATTGACCCAGTAAGAATGGATCAGCTGTTTCACAGCAGCACAAAGACTGGACAGAGGTCAGGAAGTTGGTTAGCAAATTCACGATAGGGTGAGTCCATATGCTCTCTCACCTTGGCAATCCTTATTCCGGTAACCCACTGATTTAGAGTTCTTGCGTCGTCACAGCAAAGATATTTGATATACTGGGACTCCTTCTGAATTTGGGGATGCTAGGAAACAAGTCATTTCAAAAAGACCATTTAGAATCTCTTCAATTATTAGCACCTGTCAAAAAATTTTTAAAACTCTAACAATGCATGAGATTTCCTGAGATGGTGGCAAAAATTACCGGTAACAATTTTAGGATTAGGAAGAGGGGTACTTTTTAAAATGGGCTCAATTTTGAAAAGATTTAAGTCATCTGTGACATGATTGATCATGAGAGCTTTTTACTATATTATCAATAATAATGTTCATTTCTGCTTTTTTAACTCTGAAAACCGTCACACCTGTCATGTCTCTACTCTCACAAGAAATCTGAATCGGTTCATTTATCAGATAAGGGAACTTACCTGATCTAATTCTTATGTCATGGGATTAATGCTTTTGCAACTCCCAGTCAGTCCCAGGGTTATTTCTGTTATCAGGAATGCAGGGTTTCACCTTTTCTTAACTGTCATCTCCTACCCAAATGGGCCATTTTGGCCTCTGGATGGATGGCCTGGAGAAGGAAGGTTTGTCTATTCTCAGGTGGCAATGAGTTGGAGCACTGCACTAGGAGTCATCCAGGATTTCGAGGAGCTCATAGTCAAAGGGAACAGTGATATGGGCAGGCACAAAGGAGAAAGAGACACAGGTCCCTGGTCACACAGAACACCCTGCGCTCCTCTGTCTTAATCCTCATTGCCCTTGTAATTTCTGCTTTATGTCTCTGTCTCTGATGGACTGTGTGCTCCGTGAGGGTGGGAACTATGTTACTCACTGCTGAAGAGTCCCAGGGCTTCGGCCATGGCCTGGCGCATGGTCGGTATTCCAGGCCAGAGGTGAAAGTAATTGTTGAAGGAAACAAAAATCATAAGATTTCCTGTTCAGCCAGAAGTCTTGGGGCCATAAGATGAGGGGCAGGCAACCAAATCTAGGTTCTAAGATGTGTGCCATGTGAATTTTCATGGGTCATTGTAATTTTTAATAAGCTTTACTATATAGAAAAATAATTACCAACCATAACCATCGTGTGTATGTGTGTGACCACCTCTCTCTTCTTCCTCCAGTTCTCAGAGGAGTTTGTTAATCCTGCTAGGATAAGCATAGATCATGGTGGTGCTGACAGTGACGTGGAATGCCAAGAGAGCTGGAAGCCATCCTCAGTGGGCAGGAGAGGATCAAGCTGTCCAGTTCCTCTCTTATGGGATTGCACAGACCTCTCCACTTTGCTTTTGCTTTCAGCCTAATCACTGACCTTCAAGGAAATGGCTATTTTCAAAGTTGATCTAAGCCAAAGGCATTGTGCCTTTGAACTTCAGTTCGAATCTGAGAAGCAGCATCTGGCCTAGTCACCCTGCTGGTCTTTCTTTCTTTTTTTTTGAGGAAGATTAGACCTGAGCTAACATCTGCTGCCAATCCTCCTCTTTTTGCTGAGGAAGACTGGCCCTGAGTTAACATCTGTGCCCATCTTCCTCTACTTTATATGTGGGACGCCTGCCACAGCCTGGCTTGATGAGTGGTGTGTAGGTCCACGCCTGGGATCCAAAATGGCAAACCCCGGGCCCCTGAAGCGGAGCGCACAAACTTAACTGCTATACCGCGGGGCTGACCCCCTGCTGGTCTTTCTAATGACCCAGCCAGCAGGAGCCAGTGGTATTGCTGTTTTTGCCCAGGGAGGATAAGAAGACCCAGATAGACTAAGAGCTTGATGAGAGGTTAGTAATTTTTGGTTTTACAAATGAGACAACTGAGGCCCAGAGAGGTTACTATATATCTTACCCCATGTTCCTCTAGAACCTTGGAGTCTCTTGTTCCATCACCTAGAATTTCTGTATTTATATTAAGCTTTTAAGCCAAAGTTTCAGACTTCAAAGATAACCACAGAAAAATTAAGAAATTATAAAGAATTCCTTGTTTTGGCCTTTTGAGTCAACTGAGGAAAGTCTACCTTCATACTTTTACCTTTAAATAGACCATTCCCTTTATTTAGGTCCTTCAGCCCCCAGGATTTGCATCATTGTCGCTTGAAGACCAGTCAGTTCCTATTTACTTAGGTACCACATGTTCCCTCGCCTCCCAGGGTGACACCTCCACGGTGGGCTCCCCAATGTTGCCTGTAGTTTTCCATTCTGGCCAGCAGATGGTAGCAAACACTTCTGAATGGCTGCCGCACATTGCCTTGTTACTGGGGTTCAATGCTTCCTCATTAATTCTGAATGTTAGATTTTATGTTTGCAAATGTTATCCCAATGATCATCCTCTTTGGAGGCCCTTACAAATCGAAAATCTCTATCAACTCAGATAATGTGGCCCAACAGCAAAAAAAAGATTTGTTACGTTAATTAACTGGAAGCTCATATTGATGAAAAGTATCCTAAACTGAGGATTTCTTCCCTGGGTGGAATGCGACATTCCACACATGCCTGCAGCATTCTCTTCAACAATAAAATTCCCGAAGCCAAAACAAAGTCCTTGTCTTTCAGCACCAGAAACACAGCTCCCTAACTGACAACAGCATTCCCGTTCTGACTGTCATGTAAGGCGCAAACATGGGTCTCTCCAGCAATTTAATGTTTATAATTGTTCTTAGCAAGCAGTTGTTATGATTTTTTTTCTGAGACATTTAAAAAGTTGACATTGTTGCCTTGGGCTTGGTATATTAAAATTTCTTGTTTGTTTCCTTTTTGGTGCATGTCATGTGAGAGCCAGGTTCCCAGGAACAGACTATAAATCGCACTGTGATTGCAATGAAATGCACAAAGCAATGGTCTGTCGGAGGTGTCCACTTAAACAGCTTAATGAACAATTTCTTAAATATGTTATTTATTCAAATAGGGTAAAATTTAGTTGTTCCCTTACACATAGTGGCTTTGAGCATAAAACAGAGGCAAGACTCTTGAACTTGAGTCCTAGCAGTGGCTCCTCCTATGATGATGAGAAACATCTACAGACCTTGGTTCATTCTCTTCAACATTAGTGGAGCGAATCTTATCGATTTCCTTAAACCACATGTGTACTATGAACGCATATGGGAGAGTTAAGCATCAGATGACCTTGAAGGTCTCTTGCAATCCTCAGATTTTATGATTCTAACATGAGCTACCTGGTGGGCAGAAGGCTCCCTTCTGTCTCTCTTGTTAATGCAGAAATCCTCTAAGCTCCCAGGACATCAAAAGCAAGTCACTGTGCTTGTTCTCCTGTCATGTCTTGGGACCTCGCCAAGAGGCTTACGCCCTAGCTGAGCCTTTTGCTGAAAAATTATTTGCAAAGGAGTTTCAGGAAAAATGCTGGTTCAGTGGCATGGCCAGACTCTTCTGCAATTGGTTTGATTGTTCCTGACCATAAAAAGAGAGAAGCTCTCTTAGGACATGCAGCTCAGCACACAAAGGTCAGGGCAATTGCAGAACATTGCTGTGAAAACAGATCTTACAGATGCCCTACACTTACAAATGAGGAAGCTGAGCACCAGGGAAGTGAAGCCATTTGTCCAAGGCCAAAGGCAGTGGTAGAACCACGACTAGAACCAAGGTCCACTTGATTCAACAGATACCTGTGACTGCTAAGAAATATACCAATCCCCAGGTAAATATAGATGAGTGAGAGAGGCTCACACCATAATCAGGAATTGGTGGCTGGGGGTGTTCCTGGGGGAGACACGTGTAGACAAATATGTGATTACTCTACGACATGGCAAATTTCATGGTAAAAGTTTGAAGACAGCCTGAGAAAGGGTCTTGGGAAGAAGTGGTAGAATGTTGTAATACATTCGAGGAATGTCTAGAAGTTCTGTGTGGCTAAGGCCTGGGAGCCGTGGAAAGAAAAGGCAGAAAATAAGCTGGAGAGGAGCCTGAGTTAAGGGTCTTGTGTCTAACTCACATCTGGACTTGTCCTCTAGGCAATGGGGCATCAGCCATTTTAAAACAGCCGAGTAACACAGGCTGCTCTTGGCGGCTGCGTGGAGGGTGGACCTGAGTGAGGAGGAAGAACACACGAAGAGTGGCTGGACGAGAGGCGTCTCTACTGGAAATTCAGAAGAACTTGATGATGGATTAGATGAGAAAAGAGCAGAGGAGGGAAATCAGGGATGATTTCTCTATTTCTAGCTCGAAAAAGTAGGTGAGTATTATATGTTTAATTGTGTCCCCTCGAAAGATATGTTGAAGTTCTAACCCTGGGTCCCTGTAAATGTGACCTTATTTGGAAATGGGATCTTTGTAGATGTAATCAAAGTAAGATGAGATCATCCTGGCTGAGGGTGAGCCCTAATCCTGTATGACTGGTGTCCTTGTAAGAAGAGGAGAAGCAGCACAGACACACAGAGCAAAGATGGCCATGTGATGATGGAGGCAGAGACTGGCAAGGTGCAGCCGCGAGCCAAGGAATGCCAAGGATTGCTGGAAATTGCCAGAAGCTAGGAGAGAGCCATGGAACAGATTTTCCCTTAGAGCTCTACAGAAGGAACCAACCCTGCTGACGCTTGGATTTTGGACTTCCGGCTTCCTGAACTGTGAGAGAATAAATTTCTCTTGTTTTAAACCACCCCGCTTATGGTACTTTGTTATGGCAGCTGCAGGAAACTGAGTGATGGTACCATGCATCTTGAGAGAGAAAGGAGTTTGTGACAGCGGAGAAAGAGTTAAAATCACCGTCTGACAGGTTATGGTGGAAGCGCCCCTTGGATATGTAGTTACCTCACGTGTGTGGCACTAGGAGAGAAGGTGAGACCATTCGCTGCAGATTGGGAATTATTAGCATGCAGACGATAGCTGGAGCTGTGGCTGCAAATACGGTCTCTCAGGCAGAGCAGGAGGAGTCTGGTGAGAACCAAATACAGAACCTTGGAGAACATTCCAGTATGTGTGAGAGGAGGAACTAGCATAAATGGAGTAGGCACAGGTGAAGAGAGAGAAGTGCGGGCTGAGGATGATAAAATGAGGAAGTTGTCACCAGTGCAAATAATGCCAGAAGACCAGAAGCCCGAGGACTGGAAAAAGCCATTGTTCATTGGGAAGCTCAGTAGTAACAG